CTCTTTTCTAACAAACGCTAATTAGTAACTACCCTACTCTGAAGAAACAAACATATTAATCCTATTCTAACTTTTGTTGTTTTTCTTCTACATTCATCTCTCTCATGTTGCTGTCATCTGGAACATTACTTCCCTGTTTAAAAGTAGAAATAAAAACATTTTAAAAGGCTGTATATATACACACATACATATATACATTCAAATTTTATTTTATTTTAGTTTCAGATGTAACATGTAACATGTACAGGTTTGTTGCGTAAGTATAGTGAATGTTGCTGAGGTTTGGGCTTTTCATTATCCTGTCACCCATGTAGTGAACACAATACCTGATAGGTAGTTTTTAACACTTGCCTCCATCTCTTCCTCCCCTCTTTTAAAATCTCCAATGTTTACTGTTCTCATGTTTGTGTCTATGTGACCCAATGCTTAGCTTCCACTTAGGAAGGAGAGCATGCAATATTTGCTTTTGTGTTTCTTCATTAATTTACTTAGGATAATGACCCCCTGGTGCATCCATGTTGCTTCAAAGGACATGCTTTTGTACTTTTTATGGCTGTGTAATGTTCTATTACGTATATGTATGTATCACATTTTCTTTATCTAATCTGTTGTTGATGAACATCGGGTTGATTTTATGACTTTGCTGCTGTGAATAGTGCTGAACAAACATACAAGTGCAGGTGTCTTTTTGGCAGAGCAATTTATTTTTCTTTGAGTATAAGGACACATCTAATATTCCCCACTCCAGCTATGCTGCCAGACACAACAGACCCCACATTTCAGCCAATTACCTCCTGTTCCTGTAATAACTGATTATAATTTTATGTCTAAATGTGTCTTTATTTACCTTTATACTTTAATAACAGGACAAATGTTTATAGAACTTTGGAACTAAGTTTTATTCTATCCACTTTCTAAATTAATTGTTCCACAGTTTTCTAGCAATTAGTGCTATAATTAAAAAATATAACTCCAAAACTTTTTCTTGCTTTTGAAATATTTTTTCTCTGTTCTTTGGAAAGCATTTTGATGTTATAAACTTTCATTTTATTGAGTCTAGCTTTGTAATTTTTAAATAAATAATGTTTGGTATTCTGTAGGTCCTTACATTATGAAACTATATCTTCATTATATCTGAGAGTTCTAAAATGTTATTCCTTTAATCATTTCCTTACCAATTTTGCTATTTTTCTGTAAATACTTTAAAGTTTAATTTTTTAATCTTTCTTTCATGTATTTTAACTTCATTTTCTTCCATCATTTTATCAATTTTACTGTGGTGCTGAAAATTCATCCACCAATTATTAAAACTCACTATTTTGATTGTCAGCAGTTTGCATGCTATTCTTTTCTCAATATAATCATTTTTCAACACTTAGATATTCTATTTACGATTCTTTTCATAAAAAAACTATGTCTTCTTCATGTTTGTAGTTTCTCTCTCTCTCCCTCTCCTTCTTTCTCTCTTATTGTATGTTCTCTTATTTTTAATGTTACTGTGAAAGGAAAATAAAATCCGAAGACCCCTAAGTCACTATTCCAAAAGGGAAAGTTAAGTTTGGACACTGAATCATATACAAAAGATTGCCTTTCCTTTTGTTCCTAAATAGATATCTTCCCAGATGGCCTCCCTCACACTAACAATGTAAATTAACAGATTATCTCCATGGGTATGGGACAAGAGGAGACTAGAAATCATCCTACAGTCCACCCCAAGAAAAATGCCTATTTGACTTCTTCTTTTATTCTGTGTTTATCTTATGTAAAGTGTAGATTTACTAAGCATGAGATAATTACGTAATAGACTGTCCCTCTACTCTCTCCTTTTCACATGCAACAGATGGATTCAAGGAGTGTTAAAGCCTCAAAAAAATGTAACTGCTTGTCTAATTTTTTCTAACCCTCCCCTTTTTACTTTCCTCTTTCCACTCCCACCTGTTTTTTCTCCCTTAAATATTAACACCTCATTGGAAAAAGTACAAGCCACAGATGCTACTGTGACTTGTGTCTCTTTCCTTGGTGTGTCCTCAAATTTTGCAAAATAAACCTCTAAGTCAATTTAGACTTGTGCCTGATACTTCTTTTGGTTTTCACTAACAATTCCATGTATTTTTAAATCCTCATCTGGTTTCTTGTTAATTCCATTTAACAAAATTTCTTGCTATATGATTATCTCTTTAAAAAAAAAAGTTGTAAGCTATCCCTGAATGTTTCATGACTATTTACTGTGAACTTTTCTTTGCCACAGTATTTCTTGATAGTCCCCTAAATGATGATAGGTAATCAATCTTTACAGTTGAATTTTTTTAAAGTGTATATTCTAAGATGAAGATTTGACTTTAAGAAGCTTATTTGGATGTGATAGAATGCAGAATAATGATCCCCTAAAGCTAACAATGACCTAATGCCCAAATTTTAAATATGTTGTTTCATAGCAAAGAAGAATAAGTATACAATGAAATTAAGGTGCTAATCAACTAATTTGAAGTTAGGGAAAGTATCCTGGATTATCAAAGGTGAGCTCAATATAATCACAGGGTTTCTTACAAGTAGAAGACAGAAGCAGAAAGGTTAGATTCAGAGAAGAAAATGTGAAAATAAAGCAAGGTCAGAGTAAGCCTTTATATAGCGGTACGAATCAGTCATGACCGAGATCTCCTGGCAGGGGTAATTTGATTTTGGGCAAAGAGTTCTCATTAATCAAGAGAAAAGACAAAGAGAGATTTAGAAAGTGTTCTCAGTCACATTACCAGTAGTTGCATCATTGAGAGAAATGAATACTTTGTATCTGGGATATGGATGGCATGCCATGGCATCCACAAGCAAACCTAACCAGGATATGGTTTTCTTATAGTGGAGACACTACTGTATAACTCCATCTAATTTTTTAGCAATTTGCTCTTTGTTCCTTCTTGCCTCTTGAAAATCTCAAAGCCCTCAAAAACATTAATATTTATTCCCATGTTTAAATTTTAATTACTGCTTATTTGCAGGCATATTCTAGACTGCTTGTTCTTGTTCTCTAATAGTTGTCCTTTTGATTTTGAAGTTATTACACATACACACACACACACACACAATTCATTTTTTTAAAAATCAATTGTAATATAGTTAGAGCTTTGTGGGGGAAATGACCATAGTTGCACAAACTACCAATTTGACAACGAAGACTGTCAAATTATTGCTTCAAAGCACAGGAAAGCATTTTTTTAACGTATCCTATTTGACAATAGAACTAAGCTAAGCGGTCATTTTAGTTAATTATTTATTTGTGATAGTTTTCATTGTTAAATTGTTTTATAATCATCATTTAACTATTTTAAACTCCATATGTTAGGAGAAGAAATAATGTTATCTATAATTCAATGACTCAAAGACATTTTGACATTTCAATGCTATTTGAAACATGTTGCTCTTTATTTTTTGTTTATAGTGTTGGAATTAAATCATATATTAACTCATGCAATTTCATGTATACTTATGAACAGAGGGATGCACATTATGGATAGTTTTTTAGTGCATTGTTATTTTAATGGAAACTCAATTTCTTTAGTTGAATAATCTAATTTTTTTTCATGCACTCACAGTTTACTGTTGAACAATGCATTGGTTAGGGTCACCAATTCTTCCTGCAGTTCAATAGTGTGTATAACTTTTTACTACCCCAAACTTAGCATCTATTATAATAGCCTGCTTTTGACAAGAAGCCTTACCAGTAATGTAAGCAGAAAATTAACACATATTTTGTGAGCTGTCTGTGTTATTTACTATATTATATTATAAAGTAAGCTAGAGAAAGAATGTTATTAAGATAATTATGGAAAGAAACATATATTTTCTATTTATTAGGTGGAAGTGGATTATTATAAAAGTCTTTATCCTCCTTGTCTTCATGTTGAAGAGTCTGAGGAGAAAAACAAAGAGGAGAGGCTTGTTTTGCTATCTCAGATGTGGCAGGAGTGAAAAAAGAAAAAAATCCACGTATAAAGAGACCTACATAGTTCCTACCTGTGTTGTTCAAGAGTAAGCTGTATTTTGTTTTTGAAGCAATTGAAAACAGTATAAGAAATACTTAGGGCATGAAGTTCATTCTGTGTTTAAAACAGAGAAAGTAATTTTCGTTTTTTAAATTTTAATTTTATTTATTATTTTATTTCTTCATAAAGCCCCATTAAACATTTTCTGTCATTTTCTTTCAGCTTGTAGTGAACCTTTAGCATTTCCTGTAGTATAGTTTAGCTGACAATAAAATATGTGCTTTTATTTATATGAAGCAATTTTTACAGGTTATTCAAAAGGAAATGTAACATCTGAACGGGACTTTAAAATATAAATAAATTGAATTGATAATCAAAATATTTCCCACAAAGAGAAGCCCAAACCCAGATGGCTTCACTGATGATAACTTCTATATGTTTAGAGAGGAATTAATACAACTCCAATCCGTATAAACTTACAAAAAATATGAGGAAAGAGATCCCAAATAATTCTATGAGGTCATTATTACCCTAATACCTACACCAGACAAAGACATTGCAAGAATGAAAACTGCAGACCAATATCCCTTATGGATATAGGGGCAAAAATACTCAACATAATACTGGCAAATTGAATCTAGCAACATATTTTTAAAAAGATAAGATTAAATGGGATTTATCCCAGTAACTCAAATTTGATTTAACATATGAAAATAATAAAGTATTACAGTACATTAACAAAGTAAGGCGCGGTGGCTCAAGCCTGTAATCCCAGCACTTTGGGAGGCCAAGGCAGGTGGATCATGAGGTCAAGAGATCGAGACCATCCTGGTCAACATGGTGAAACCCCGTCTCTACTAAAACTACAAAGAATTAGCTGGGCATGGTGGCACGTGCCTGTAATCCCAGCTA